GCAACAAATATCACACGATCACATTAATACCTACTTTCCAGTGGCTACCATCATGAAAATCAATAATAACCCAGAGTAAGTTTCTTTAATATAGAAACATAGATCGAATGTTGGCTGATTGTCAGATTAGAGTGATCCACCCTCTGCCCGATGAAATAATCCTACCTTAAGACATCGTATCTTCACATTCGGTTTCCATGGAATGGGCGATCAAAAATCATAAAGTCGACTAAAGGATTTTTGGTTGGCCAAATGACTCATGGCAGACGGAACAAATTCCAAGCAACCTAATCGGGCAGTTATGAATGTAAAGCAATTTTTAAGTAGTTACAGAAATAAAGTGGCACCAACACCGATTATGGGGTCAAAATAAATGTTATTCGGTTCCAAATATAAAAATATAATGGTTCATTAATTATGGTAACTTTCTTTTTTTAATGAGAACACTCATGTATTTATGAGATCCTACATATGAATTATAAATAGGAGGATCACTTTCAAGGAAAAGGACTCTGAATAGAATTATCACTAAAAATATTTAGAGAGCATTGAACTCTTCCTTATTTCTTCTTTCATTCGATTAGTGTTCTATTCATTGAGTGTGAATCACAGATTAATTTATGATCCAACATGTTACATTTTATATTAAGAGATTTTTTTATTTCTTACCATTTAATTGCTCATTTTATATGTCATTTTGTTATGAGGCTAGCTTAAAGTAAGATTGTTTCTCTTTTTTTAGAATAAATAAATTGACTCATGAGCTTGATCAAATTAATAAAATCAAACTCAAGTTCAAACTCAAACTTAATAAATTAATTAAGCTAAAGCGCGGTTAGAGCTCAACTAGACTCATTTACACCTCTAATTGTAATCATTTCTCATATTCTTGAAACACTGAACCATGAAGAATTAGGAGAGAAAGTGGAGAATGGATCATACTAAGGGAAGGTTGTCAATGGGACCAGTGGCGTGTGATCATCAAGGAAGTAAATGATGATGAAGTAGATTTGAGCATTTCTATTGGATCTTGCCTAGGATATTGATGAGACCAATTATGAGTGAACATCAAGTCAGAAGAAGAGGTGAGGAAGTTGTGAATAGATCTTCTGAAGAAATATATGAATGGTACTGATAATGTGTGCATCAAGTATAGGAAATGTTGAAATTGAGATATGTAGTATTTTTTAAAATAAAATTAATAGTATGTGCATAAAAAGATAATTATTATTGTTAGGTATATTAATAACTTATTTAGATATCTTATATATAATGATAAGTTTATTTTGTCTCATAATAGTGAAAATAAAGTTTGAGTAAGATTTAATAATTTTTTAGTAAATATTGATATACATTTTAACCTTATTTCAAGTATGAATTAACATGGGTTAAAATAAAATTTGAACATACATTGCAACATAACTAACTATAATGTTGATATACTAATGAGTCTAAATAAAACAAAGATTATAAGAGATATGATACATTAGTGATAATATGGTATTTTATATTTTATAGATGTATAGCCAAAAAAAAAATGCAATTCAAAAGCTATAACATAATAACCATAACACAACTATATCATCTAAACAATAATGTAAATTGCATTAATAAAGGAAAAAATAAAACAAAAAAATTAATATTTACCTTAGAATAAAAAAACTGGTTTATTAATCTATATTATTGTAAAATAAACTTATACATAGATGATCTCTATAGGATTATGAGCAATTAAGTGTAAATTCCAAATAATTTCCTTGAAATCAGATACATGGTGTGTTATTTTACATATACTATATAATTTCTATTATAAATAAGATATAAAATAATCATCATACCATGCGTATAAAAACTACATTAATTAATTTATATTTTCCAAAATTTTTAATCGATTACTTTATTTTAAACTTGGGAACCACTTCTTTGTTGGCATTCCTCTACATCTAAGTATATTTGAAGGTCAAAAGTTCTCCACCATTATTCAATAACCTTAACTACTCACATAAACTTAGAAGAAATAACAAAATTATCTACAATATTTGATTTGAGATGCAAGATGGATCTGAGTAATGCAATATCAATAACTATAAAAAATAAGATCTTATATATAATGTAATTAATTTTATTCTAATTCCTTAGAAAATACATGAGTTCTACAGTAGATCATGACTTCAAAATCTTATTCTTTTAAATGACATAAAAGTCCTTATTCAGGCTAGATGAATAAATCCTTAATTTTTTTAGCCTTATAAATGAAGGGATTGCAACTTTGTAGTATTAATCAAATGATTTGTCCAAAGTTGACGCCAAAGTCATAACTTTTTCGATAGCTTGAGATGCAATATCTTACTAAAAACATATGACTAATGCACCATAAGTTGAGAAACTGACGTTATTATATATAATCTTGAATGGCTCCTACTCTTAGTAAGTAATATCTTTCTAATTATCATATAAAACCCAATTATTGAAGGTCTTAACTACAAATACTACATGAGGTTTTCATTACACATTCTTATCATGTTCACCTCAACACCATCAACTAGTCTTATCATTCAAGAATTGAAGGTAGAAGGTTGCTTTTTATAAATTAGGTTAATAGAATCAATTAAGTATGAATGTATCTACAGGTGTCTTTTCTTAATAAATTTGTGAAATATCTAATCAAATATCTCTATTATTTTACATCCTTTATTTTGGATCTTAATGATTATCCCCCACTATGATATATATGTACAAAAAATAGGTTGACTTCTATCACATTGTTGGCTACTTATTTTGTAAGTATATTAATATGGAATCAATAACCTATGTCTACCTCCTTATAAACTTCTCATTCTATCTATGGATCGTTTTACATGTTGTCTCCTATACATTCTTCTTAAAAGTAGAGGTTCTTGTTTTCCTCTTTATAATTCATGTTGGGACAGCAAAATAGACTTAATTGTAAAATACTAATAGAAGTAATCTTATCAATTATATGCACCAATGTATGATGAGTAACTTCTATTAAGGAATAACTTCAGAGTTAACGATTTACCGAAAAACAAAAAAAAAAATTCACTTTGAGAAAATGGCAAACACTCATGTCCTTATACATCAATATTAGCAAAAAAGTTTTGTTTGTGAGTAATATAATACTCTTTAAGTTTGACATTTTTGGTTCTCACTTTATAAGAAACTCAATATCTCCTCTCCATGTTTGAGATGACATTGTAAGCCTCATATTATATTGGTATTATAAATCTAGTTATAGCATATTGAGATGCATATTCTTCTTTAAAATAATGATATCTTATTGCATCTTGTCCCTTTTCAACCCTTATAGTGTTTTATCCCATGCTAGCCTACTTTATGGGTATCCAAAATGTCTCATCATCTTCAATAAATTCCACCATCCAAGTAAGAATAATAACATTTATTGTAATGGAGGAGAACAATAGCCACAATAAAACATAGTCCTAACTTCACAAGTCATTTGTTAAAGAGCACTCAATGAAGGTTTTTCATTAACTTCTAAATGTTAAAATTCTTATCTCCATTAAACTAGTTCTTGTATACTTATTGATTAGGCCCGTTATCTAAAACTCCTCCTTAGATGGTAATTGACCAAATTACCATTCATTGCTTATTGTATTATTCATTATTCTTTATGTTGAATATGATGTTCACTCCAATATGATATTCTTGCCCATAGTATTGAACACAATGTAGTATTCCTTATTCTTATCATTATCAATTATTCTCATTAATAATTGAAAAATCAAAGCCCCACATAACAACTTTTCAAGAGTTTTAAGGGACAGACAAAGATATGTCAAATTAATCTTGAGAATGAAAGTAGCATTAAACTGTCTAATTTATCCTCCATCACACCCTAATTTATGAATTGAGCAATGTAAAACAACTCTCATAGCATGATTAGTGCACGCATATGGGTATAAATTTTAATAACTCACATGAGAATATCAAAACACCATGATCGAATCATGATCATTCA